AGGTAGTCTGCTGACGACGGTTTGATCTTCAAGTGGGAGATTGTTAGTTTGGGTGTCGACCAAACCTACAGGCTTGAATGAGTCGACGACAAGGAGCTTTAGGCGAGGTCGAAGCTTTGGCGAGCTCATGGCGACGAGGTTGAAGTGTGGACGAGTCAGGCGAGCTCGAGAATCCCACGCAGGCGAGCTCGAGATCCAGAGTTGCAGGCGAGCACAAGTGTCTTCAGGCGGAACTCATGCAGGCGAAGTTGGCGTTAGGCGAACTTGAGATCAGCGGCTTCAGGTGAACTCGAAGGCGAGTACGGGCGAGGCTATGTCAGGCGAGATTGCTGCAGGCAAGCTCGAGAACCCCGTGCAGGCGAGCTCGTGTAGGCGATGTCGACTCCACAGGCAAAGTTGTGGCATAGGCGAGCTCCTCGCAGCTGTCGAAAGCCTGTCAACAGCTCAGTTAGGGTTTCCCTATAAAAAGGAAACCCCAAGGCATGAGATCGATGTTCTTCTCCGTGAGATTTTCAACGGCGGCGTTTTCTCCTCTGTCGTTTTTCTTCCTTCGTCCAGATCTCAGAATTTGAAGAATCTTTTGAGGGGAGATTAAAGGGAAGAGAGGATTAAGAGGGGGTATTTAAGAAGAGAATTTGTTACTGTAGCTACAATAATAAATTAGCATTTATTGAGATATCTCAGTTTGAGATTTGCTCTAAGTTTGTAATTTCTTGTTTGATTAATAAGAAATTTACTGTGTGACTCCTGAGGACGTAGGCAGTTGCAAAACCTCGTTAAATCTTAGTGTATTTTCTCTATACTTCGTTTTTGCTGTTTAGAGGGGTTTCGGCGTAAATTCCCAACAACGAGAACATACAATAAAAGAAAGTCTTAAACAAAAAGATATCATGCTTCATTTATATATTAATCTGTTCACTTCTATTAAAGACAACAAATCATATCATCAATGGGTGATCCAGATGATTCAAACGTATCAATTTGAAATCAGAGTGACAGATTTCGATTTCTAGGCCCGTATTTTCCTAATGTTGTTTGGAATTAAAGGTAAGCCTCAGCACTATAAGTGCTATGTCCATGAGGGGGTCCTCTGAAATTCGAACTCGGGCTGTAGCTTTCTTAGCCAAGATTCATTTGTCAACAAAAATAAATAAATAAATACATAAATAAAAGACAAGAAATGGTATTACATCTTTAATACTTTATAGTATAAGACATCATAACATAACAACTGAATTCCTCCGCAGTTGATCCCCTTACATGTCAACTCTAGAGTGAAAAGTATTCCTCAAGTGCTTACAAGGATCATAAGAAAGAGACTTGAGGACGTGACTCATCTCCTCCTTCATTTGCTATTGGATCCGGATGAAAGGAAAGAATGCATTCTTAAATTTATCCCATCATCTTGTAATTATAACTCAATAAACATTGCGATCTTTGTTCTGAATGGTGTGTTTATGATTAGAGAACTTAATTTGATTGCCTAATGAAGAAAAAGCATTGGAATAAAAATCCTCTAGCCGACACTTTATGAAGATTGCGTTTCCTTTAGAGTAGACCCATGCCCACACATTTAACCTATCACGATAAAAGCTAGTGCTATGGTTGATTATCTTTGTAGATATGTAGATGTTAAATATGTAAGAAAAGTCGTAAAGATATCTTAAAATTTTGTAAAAAGAGAATTAAGGGTGTACTTAGATGCCACCTCATAAAGGGGTTCATAAAGCTTTGAGATACCATAATGTTTTCTTTCCTACACAAATGATTCTTAGTACAATTTACAGGTCATTGTTGTTGTAAGTAAGTCCATGTTCTCAAAAATATAAATTATCATCTAATTATACTTCCTAATTATTGGATCAATCAACGGCAAAGCAAATAGAAGTATAATATGTATGAGGAGAGATTTAGTTGGAGAAGCAAATGAAAAAATATTCTTTTTTAACTCCCTATTACTGTAGCTACATTACTCAGATTTTTTATCTCTGTTCCCCCCTCTTTTTTCTCTTAGGTAGAAGGATGCATGAATGCCTTTTAAAAGGCTTTACAAAGTGTTTCATAATAGAATTCTAGTATGATTATAATTCCTAGAGATAACTAACTCAAATTCTTTTAGAATTAGGATTACTTTCAACATCCCCCATTAATCCTAATTCTGTAAAGTCTTCATTCTCATCTTGTGCTTCAACTTGACAAACACTTCAAACTTCAAAGGTTTCGTGAGGATGTCCACAACTTGATCTTCAAACTTGCAATAAATTAACATGATCTCGTTCTTCTCAATATTGTCTCGTAAGAAAGTGATAACGAGTATGAATATATTTGCTCCTTCCATGAGTGACTAGATTCTTCGTCAAATCAATTGCAGACTTGTTGTCAACATAAATCTATGTAGGATCTTCAACTTGAATATGAATTTGATTTAGCACATTACGCAATCAAATTGCTTGACAAGTACTTGACGCAACTGCTACATACTCCGCTTCACAAGTTGAGAGTGCAATAATAGACTGCTTCTTCGATGACCATGAAAATGCGGTTGAGCAAAAATTAAAATATAGTTAGAAGTACTTTTATGACCATCATGATCTCCACTCCAATCACTATCAGAATAACATACAACATCACAATTATTAGATGAAGAATAAAACAAACCATGATCATAAGTCCCCTTTTGGTACCGCATAATTCCTTTTGCAACTTGTAGATGAAATTGGTGAGGGGTCTCCAAATATCTGTTGATTAGACCAACTCCATAGGCTATATCTGACCTTGTACATATGAGATATCTCAAACTCCCAATAATTTGCTTAAAATAGGTAGGATCAACTTCTGCACCATCACCTTCTCGAGATAATTTAGTACTAACCTCCACAAGGATTCTAATAGGATTGTAATCAAACATCTGAAACCTCTTCAACAACTCTGCATAGTACCTCTTTTATCATATAAAAATCCCATCATCACTTTGAACCACTTCAATACCGAAAAAAATAAGACATCAAGCCAAGATCTGTCATCTCATATTCATGTATCATTGACTTCTTAAACTCTTCATTCATACTAATGTTATTACCCGTAAAAATCAAGTCATCAGTATAAAGGCATATTAGTAGTATATCACTAGAGTTGATTATCTTCACATATAAGGCATGCTTGGAAGGAGCACTTCTAAAATCCAATTTCTTGAAAGAAAGAATTAATTCTTTTGTTCCATGTTCGTGGCGTCTGCTTCAGTCCATACAAGGCTTTCTTCAACTTGTGTACTTTATGCTCGCACCATTTCTTCACAAATCCAGGTGGTTGCTTCACAAAAACTTCTTCTTCAAGTGGCCCATTTAGAAAAACAGACTTCACGTCCATCTGATGAATATTCCAATGCTTCTGTACAGCCAACGCAATTATTAGTCTAACAGTTTCAATTCTAGCAACAGGGAAAAATACCTCTTGGTAATCATAACCAGGCCTTTGCTCGTAGCCTTTCGCCACCAATCTTTCTTTATGCCGCTCAACCTCGCCATTCACCTTAATCTTTATCTTGAAAACTCACTTCACATCGATTGCTTTATGTCCTTGCAAGATATTAGTAAGCTCTCACGTGTCGTTCTTCTCGATCGCCTTTTATCTTTTCTTTCATTGCATTTATCCATTTAGGATCTTGAATAACCTCTTCAAACATGACTGGCTCACAATCTGCAAACATTACAAAGTGTACTATATCTCTATCTGCATCAATATCATCATCTGGAGTTACTTCGTAATCTCTCAAGAGAATTGATCGTTGGCGATTTCTTCTTGGTCTTTCAACTTCTAATGAAATTTGCGTGGTTGGAGCTTCAGGAGCATTGGCCGTAGGTGCTACTTTAGTTGCAACAGGGACACCATCTTCAAGAATACCGATGAGAGTACGCCGTGAATTATTTTGTGCTTCCAGATTCTAATTCCAAGCTTCTTCTTCAGCAAACATAACATCTCTACTTTCAACCACCTTCTTTGTAACAGGGTTGTAGAGTTGTGACCTCCAGACTTGTAGCCAATAAAAATTGTCTTCTCATCTCTATCATCAAGTTTCTTTTTCTTTTTACTGGAATATGAGCATAAGCAATGGAGCCAAACACTTTGAGATGTCTTACACTTGACTTATAACCAGTCCACGCCTCTTCAGGAGTAAGATTATCAATGTGCTTTGTTGGTGACCTATTCAACAAGTATACAGTCCATGAGACAACTTCACTCCAAAAACAATTTGGCATACCTATGGCCTTTAGCATGCTTCTCGTCATGTCAAGTATCGTCCGGTTTTTCCGTTCATTCCTCCTTCTGCACAATACTTATTGAATTCATTAAATGTATATTCACGTACTCCATATGTTCGTAGCACATTGATAAAGTAATCGCTTTCCTTCTCAACTAGGACTTTAAAGCTCTTACAATAATCAAAGACTTTAGATTTTTATTGCAAAAAGTAGACCCATATTTTCCTTGTGAAATCATCAATAAAATTAAGGAAGTATCCATTATTGCCATTAGATATAGTGTTCATAGCACCGCACACATATGAATGAATGAGCTCAAGATGCTTCTTTGCACGCAAAGTATTTTCAACACCAAAGGATGATCTATGTTGCTTTCCAAGAATACAACATTCACACAACTGCTCGGGATGATCTACAATGGGCAAGCCTCTCGCTAAATGTCTTTGTACAAGCAACTTTAGACTGTAAAAATTCAGATGTCCAAACCGAAGATGCCATAACCAAGACTCATCTTGCATAATAGCATTGAAGCAATGATAAACATCATTCTGGATGTCAACTTGAAATATGCGATTATTTATCATAGGGGCTTCAAGGATAAATACACCTCTTTTATCAAAGATTAGGAGTTAATTACCAGAGAAGCGCAGATTATACCCCTTTTCAAGAAGTTGGCCCATACTGAGTAATTTTTTCTTCATATTTGGCTCATAGAATACATCAAAAATAAACTTGTGATCTCTATTCTTCAGCTTGATGAGAACTCATCCCTTTTCCCATCACTGGTATAATGTTGTCATCGACAAACTTGACTTTGGACTGCATCGACTCATCTAGGTCTATGAACAACTCCTTCTTTCCGCACATGTAATTAGAACACCTAGTGTTAAGAAACCATATATTGTAGTTTGATTCTTCACCCGCTGCCGTGACCATAAATAAAGTGTGATTGTCTTCATCACCTTTTTCTTGTGTAAATTGAACTTCTTCTCCGGATTGGAAATTATCTTGGTACTTGCACTCCTTTGCATAGTGGCCATATCTGTGATATATGTAATATTCACTGTTTGATTTATTAAAATTTACTCTACCACGTCCAAAGCCTCGACCTTAACCTCGACCTCGACCTCAACCTCGACCTTGATAATTTGAATTTGATTGATAATTGCTTCTCTGATTGCCGACGTCTCTTTGATTTTTGTTATAACTGCCACGTCCTTGACTATTGTAGTATCCGGGTGCTCGGTTGTTATAGTTCCAGTACCCTCGTCCTCTGCCACGGGAATTTCCTTCTCACTAGTCTCTTTCGTATTGCGCTCCTTTGTTAATTTTTATTAAAGCTTGACTTTGAAAAGCTTTCTCAAGGGGCTTCTCGGTTGACCTCTTGTTCATGCGTTTGCTCATGAACTTGTAAGGTACCCATCAACTCATCAACTATCATCTTGGACAAATCCTTTAATTCTTCGATTGCCACCATGATATGATTAAATTTTGTTGTAAGAGATGATAATATCTTCTCCACAATTGCTAAATCTGCAACCTTCTCCCTATTTATTTTTATTTGATTTGTCAAAGTAAGTACTTGAGTCATATAATCTGTAACACTTTCAGCGGGTTCTATCTGCAAAATTTCAAATTGACACTTCAATGTTTGCAGCCTAACTTTTTTCACCTTCTCAACTCATTGGTACGATGTCTCTAAAATATCTCACACATGATTTACTGTATAGTTGCTCCGTTGATCTTCTCAAAAACTGAATCATTCACTTCTTGATGGATGTAGAATAATGTCTTACGATCATTCTTCTCGATCTCACCGTGGACTTTCTTCACGGCTTCACTTGTGGTATCTGCAAGATCGGTAACTCCGTTCTCTACGACAGCCAATATATATTGATAATCAAACAACACCTTTATCTGCACTCTCCACCGGTGATAATTCTTCCCATCCAATATAGGAATTAAAGGTGACGTCGTCTCGTTTAGATTGTTCATGGCTTTGATACCACAGTTGGAGTAATCAACAACAAAGCAAATAGAAGTATAATATGTATGATGAGAGTATTAGTGGGAGAAGCAAATAAAAAAGATTCTATTATGTTACTGTAGCTACAGTACTCAAATTTTTTATCTCTATTTTTTTCTCTTTTTCCCTTATTTCTCTTAGATAAAAGGATGCATGAATGCCTATTTAAAGGCTTTACAAAGCGTTTCATAATAGAATTCTAGTATGACTATAATTCCTAGAGATAACTAACTCAAATCCTTTTAGAATTAGCTAGGATTGACTTTAACACTAATAAAGGTTTGATCAAACTAATTGAAGAATATAAGTGAGCTTTTGAGTCATCTGTCACATCCTTTAAGAAATTTTAGAACATTTAAGCTAAGAATTTACCTTATTAGTAAGAGAAACGATACAGTTGGGGGGTACTCGTGTTATATAATACAAGCATGTATCATATGCTATAGCACTCTTATAATTCAGGATAAAGATGTTATATATGTGCTCAACATAATAATGTATGTTTGTGCTGGCTATGTTGTTTATGAAAATGCAATTTTGCCTTTGTGAATAGTCTCACAATGGAAAATAAGATGAATAGTAAGGGATTTATATTGGTTCACCCCTTATTGGACTTTGAATAGTGTTTTGGATTTTATGGGCTTTACATAACACACACACGCGCGTGCGTGTGCGCACGCCGCTCCTCGCGCGACGCCGACCATGCCGCACGCGCGTCATGCCACGCCGCACGCGCATGCATTCCTTTTACTTCTCCAAATTTTATTTTTGCATATTTTACATATTTTGACTCGTTCTTAACGGATACAGAGATGACACGGTGAGTTACGCGGATCCTGTGTAATGTGTGCGGATTTGGAACAATGACTCTTTGGCCTCCAGCTCCTATATATACAGGGGTTCTCCTCCTCGGAAAATACACAACGACTCTTCTATCATCTCTTCCTCTGTTAATATTTTTTGCAAAGTTTTAATATTTTTGCAAAGTTTTACTTTTCTCTTTGGGCAATGTTTTTCATCTGAGCTTAAGCTCTCAACTCTCTTCCGAGTACGGAGGCCGACCCAACTGGGGGTTTTTACTGCTAGGGAAGAGAGGATTGACTGTGTCAGGGCGATAAGCGGGTCATCAATTTTCTAGGACAGTGAAATCACGACTGCTCCCATTCAGGCCTGATTTTCTGACCTTTTATTTTTGGATTTTATACTAATATTCTCTTCTTTGACAGCAATTTAGAAGATTGAGTTTTAATTGATGTTAATTATTAATTAGGAAAAAATATTATTGTTCATCAATAACTCTCTGTTACTGTTCATAAAAAAATTGTTTGCTGCATTTGTTTTAATTTCTTGTTTGTTTGTTAACTAATAATTTAAATTAGTTGCTGCTGTTTATTTAAAAAAATAGTTTCGGTTACTGTTCGTCCGGAAAACATCTTTCTGTTACTGTTCATTTATTATTTCTATTCATTCAAATAACTACTACAAATACTCATTTGTTTATTTATTAGTTTCTATAAAAAAAGTTTACTGTTCACAAAATAAAATTTATTTAACTGTTCTTTTAATTTTTTAAACTTTACTGTTCACATAAAAAGAAATATATAATATTGCTCTAATTAGTTAATTACTTTTGTTTGTTAGTTGCGTTTAACTAGAAATTAATTTAAAATAATTTATTATCAAATTTGTTTATCGCATTAGAATTTTAATATTCTTTTCACTTGTTAATCAAAGTCATACTCCTTAGTATCTAGTAGTATTGACAAAACCATTCTTTCTATCAGATTCCAAATGTTAATCAAAGTCATACTCCTTAGTATCTAGTAGTATTGACAAAACCATTCTTTCTATCAGATTCCAAATACCTAGACTAGTAAACTCAAATTGTATCTAGTAGTATTGACAAAACCATTCTTTCTATCAGATTCCAAATACCTAGACTAGTAAACTCAAATTGCACTTATGGCTAACTCTTATCATTCCAAAAGTATCAAACCTGATAAGTTTACCGGTGTTAACTATAAACGGTGGGCTAATCAGATGAGATACTGGCTCACCATCTTAGGTCTTCTATCTGCTATAGAAACTCTTGAGTCTTCATCCAGTGGATCTCAACCCTCCAATTCTCCTGTTTATGGTCCTCGTCCTGAACCCTCTTCTTCCCCTTCTGGTTCTAGTGCAAGCTCCTTTTCTAGATCAACTATCATTGTTGCTATAGGATTCTTAGTGCACTTGCAGACAATCTCTATGACATATATTATGAGTTTAAAAGTGCTAAAGACCTATGTAATGCTCTTGAAGCAGAATATGGCTATGATGATGCCAAAATTCTGTGCTTCACTTCCTCCTCCTTCAATAAGTTCATGATGGTTGATGACAAACCCATTAATGAACAAATTCATGAATTCCAAGATTTTCTCTGTCACCTCCAATTAAAGAAAAACACTTTTACTGATGATTATAAAGTTTTCTATCTGATTGATAAACCTCCTCCATCCTGGTCTAGATTTGTTGGAGATCTCCGGTACAAGAAAGGAGATCTAACCTTAACTGAAACCCTCAAGGCTATTCGTATTGAAGACCAGCATAGGCAAAATTCTAAAACCAAGACCGAATCAAAAGCTAAAGTGAACTTGGTAGAGGATAAGCCTAAATCTAAGGCAAAATTCTAAAACCAAGACCGAATCAAAAGCTAAAGTGAACTTGGTAGAGGATAAGCCTAAATCTAAGAGTTTCAAACCTAAAGGAAAGAAATTTAAGAAAAACTAGTAATCCTTCAACAAATCTTCTTCCAAATCCAATCCCAACTCTTTCAGCCATAAGTTTGATGGAAAGTTCTGCTATGTCTGTGGTAGAACCAACCACCTAGCGCCAAACTGTTTCTTTCGGAAGAAGGAACCGGCCAAACCTTCTCCTAAAAGAAATGGGTCCAAAAAAGTTAATATGATTGAAGAGAATCCAACTTTCTTCAGGTTAGCCTCTTCATCTTATCTTGTTAATTCTCTTACTTCTTCCACTGACCGGTACTTGGAGTCCGGAGCTAATATTCATGTTTGTAATGACCGCTCTTAGTTTTTAACATATCAGGAATCATGTGGAGGAAGCATAAGCTTACCAGATGACTCAACCAAACAAATAATAGGAAGAGGATGTATAGAGCTCACCATGACCTCTGGGAAAGCTCTGAATCTGCAAGGCGTTCATCATGTTCCTTCTCTCCGTCGCAATTTGATTAGTGAATCTCTTCTTCTTAGAAATAGCTTTAGGATTGTAAAGGAATCAAATAAGTTTGTGATTACCAAGAATAATGTATTCATTAGAAAAGGTTTTATCTATAATGGTCTTTTCAAACTCAATGTAATTAATTCCAATTCTAATGAAATTCTTGAGTCTTGTGATGTTTAGCATGAATGACTTGGACATGTCAATTTCTAAACCTTGCAAAGAATGATCAAATTGAACCTTATTCCCAAATCTTCTCTTGATCCCTCATTTAAGTGTGAAATTTATGTTCAAGAGAAACACACTAAAAAACCCTTCAAGTATATAACTAGAAACTCCGAACCTCTCGAATTAATTCATAGTGATGTGTGTGACTTGAACCGAGTTCTCACCCGAGGGGGTAGGAGATATTTTATGACATCTATAGACGATCACCCTAGATATTGTTACACCTATCTTCTCAGAACTAAAGATGAAGTCTTAGATAGATTTAAGGTGTACAAAGCTGAATCTGATAACTAACTTTACAGAAAGATCAAGATTCTAAGATCTGATCGTGGAGGGAAGTATACCTCAAATGATATGATTAAATATTACCAAGAACACGGTATTATTTATGAGGTTACTACTCCCTATATACCATAGTCTAACAGAGTAGCTGAACGAAAGAACAAAACCCTAATGGACATGGTAAACTGTATGATACTCAGTTCAGGAGCACCTAAAAATCTCTGGGGTGAAGCTCTTCTTTTTACTTGCTTCATTCTCAATAGGATTCCCCACAAAAATTTTAATACAACTCCTTATGTATATTGGAAGGGGAGATCTCCTAGCTTGAACTTCTTCCAGGTTTAGGGTTGCTTGGCTAAGGTAGATATTCCCGAACCTAAGAAGAGGAAAATAAGTTCCAAGACTGTTGATGCTGTTTTTATTGAATGTACACTAGATAGCAATGTTAACAGATTTCTAGTCATTAATTCTAAAATTAGTGACATATCCAACAACATAATCATTGAAGCTAGAGATGCAGTCTATTTTGAAAACATCTTTCCTTTCAAATCTAAAATCTCAAAAAAATCCTAGTTCATCTATTCCTTCTGATCTACCATCTTTTAGTTCTTCTCAGCCTCTTGACATTGAACATCGAAGAAGTAAAAGAGGTAGAATTCAAAAGGACTTTGGAGAAGACTTCTTTATCTTTCTTGTTGAAGGTGATCCAAGCTCATTCAAAGAAGCAATGGATTTACCTGAATCTCCTTTATGAAAAGAAGCTATTAATAATGAGATTAAATCTATCATGAAAAAACCATACTTGGATACTCACCGACTTACCTCCAGGTTGTAAACCTGTTGGTTGTAAGTGGATATTCAAGAAGCGACTTACCTCCAGGTTGTAAACCTGTTGGTTGTAAGTGGATATTCAAGAAGAAACTTAGAGCTGATGGTTCCATAGATAATTGGTTGTAAGTGGATATTCAAGAAGAAACTTAGAGCTGATGGTTCCATAGATAAATTTAAAGCTAGATTCGTAGCTAAAGGTTATACTCAACAAAAAAAGCATTAATTATTTTGATACATTGTAGGATGTCTAAAAAATTACTACATATAGCTTATACCCATCAAACACCGATGATAGAAGTTATAATCTGACGACTTTCAGAATATTATAATTTAAGGACTTTCACGTAGAAAGTTACAAATCTGACGACCTTCACAACAACTAATGAAAGCTCTAATTCAACAACCT